TTTACTTTTAATAATAAATATATTTTTTTTATAATATGTTAACCCTATTCGACTATAATTTTACCCGTAATATTACATAATATTACCCATAATATTTAAAAAAAAATTTTATATTAATTTAATACTTTTTTTAGCAACTAATTATACAAAAAAAATGGCTGAAGCTATGGAAAAAGATTATCAATAGTAAAGGGTAACTTGCAATAATTATGTTATTATTGCAAGTTACCCTTTACTATTGATCAATTACTTAATCATCAACTAAAATGTAACACATCACAAGATTATGATTGTTATAGCTGTGGAAAAAAAATTAAATTGACAGATACTTGGGAACATGAATGTGAAATTTATAACGAGGAGCACGTAGAAAGAAATCAAACTAAATTATGTGTATTTTGTGGAAATCAAATTCAAAAAAACATCTATGATCAACATGTCATCGGTTGTTTACATCGTTTTGAAAATGAATAAAAAGAAATAATGGAGAAACAAAAAAATATTATTATGGATCAAAAACAAAGTTTAACTTTTTTAAACATGACTACTAATAACATTCTAAACAGTTTAGAAACTGTTAACAAACAAATAAACGCATTAACCAAACAAATGGACAACATGGCTTTGGAAATGAAAGAGTTTGTGAATAAAAACACATTTGAAAAAATATTAAACAACATCAGCTTGGAAATGAAAGAATTTGTGAATAAAAACACATTTGAAAAAGAAGTGAAAGATATCAACGACAAATTCGTGTCTGATAATTTAATTATAGAATTGGACCAAATGGATTTAAGATTGCAATCTAACGAATCTTATCATACTCAACCTTCTTATACTGTAGATGGTTATTTATACCGATTTAAAATTTTTGGCTACAGTAATCAAGAAGATAAATTGGGCATTTATTTTCAAATGATACAGTCTCCAAAAGATCATTCTTTAAAATGGCCGTTCATGAAAACTGTAACATGTACAGTTAAAAACGAATGTATTGAAAACACAAAAATAATAGCCAATTATAGCGAACCGTTAAAAGAATGTTTTGAAAAACCTGCTCAAGCTTATAACCGAGCTATTGGAACAGATAATTTTGCAACACATGATCAATTAAAAAGACATTATATAAAAAACAATAAACTTATTATACACGTTTCTTCTATATAATTTGTTATGTATTTTTTTGTATTTAATAAATCATATAATTAATAAACTTATTATACACGTTTCTTTTATATAATGTATTTTTTATATTATATATTTTTTTATATAATGTTATATTTTTTTTAGAATATTAAAAAAATGAACAGTGCAATCATGAGAGGTTTAGCTGACTACATCACTACGTCTGATGTACGAAAATTAAAAATGTTTTTAGAAATTCCGTACGGAATAAGAGAGAAAATTAAAGATGGACTAGATTTAATGGAATATATACAGTTCAAAGATTTCGTATATCAACACTATGAATACAATACTAACGAGGCTAAAATCAAACTTATTTTAAATTTGTTAAATGAAATCGGTAGAAAGGATATCTATAAAAAGTTTATAGTTAAATTTGAAAAACCACCATCATACGAAGAAAGTGTAAATCCTCCACCGTATGCAGAACTGGAAAATAGAGACAGTTATCCAAACTTTAAAGTGGCAGATCCATTTTGGGCAGAAAACGCAAAATGTAATACTCCGTTGTATTATCCGCCTGAAGTTATTAGTTTAAAACAAAAAGAACTGTTGAACTATTATAATAAAAAATAATTGTTTTTTTAAATTTTATATGACCTTTTTTAATTTGTATATTTTTTTTAGCAATGAAAAAAGAACAATTAAATAAAGTACTTAATGAATTACACGAATTTTATTCAATGAAGCAAAACAAGTTGATAGAATGGAATTACAACTATGATCTTGTTTTCAATCTTGTTACAAATGTTAAAACATGGTCTTTACAAGATTTATGTAAAAGAAAATTAGCTTACGAAAACTTTTGAACACTGTTATACCAAATTTACAAAAACAAATTAACAATTTATTGAATACGTTTTTTGATGGAAACGAAAAATTATTATTCTATCATCAAATATATACTGATCATTGTTTTGATAGCATTATTAACAATATTAACAATGCGGAAGATATTTATACAAAACATTATTTATTTGTTCAGAAATTAATTATTCGTTATGTATATCGATTTTTTGAACAAACTTATTTTATGTTTCGTTATAAAACTAAACAAGACGAATTAATTATGTCATCTCTTTTTAATATTTATATGCAATGTATAGATTGGTTAATTGAACAATGTAAATTTGTTTATGACCCTCATTTTAAACCTTGTTATATTTATAAATATGATTTTATTTAGAATGTTAAGAAAAAATTTACTTAGACATGCTAGAATACATCATGATTTAAAAGAATTTTTTTCAATAAAAGAAACCATGGCAAAACAATTGCAAATTAATAACCGTGAAATAGACTTTCATGACAAATACTATCGTGAATGGACTTTGAAAGATTTATGTAAAAGAAAATTAGCTTCTGAAAAACTACTACGAATTGTCATACCAAATTTACGTAAACAAATTAACAATTTAATGTATTCGTTTTTTCAAAATAATCAAAAAATTTTATCACTATATTCTGTTTACAAATCACACGAAGACGATTGTTTTGAATTAATTGAAAGATGTGCATTAATTAGACCGTTTTATTTGAATATTCAATTATCCATTGTTGATAATATATATAAACTTTTTGTAAATACTTATTATATAAATTGTTTTTCTGCTACTAAGCAACATAAATTAATTATGAAATCTTTTTTTATTATTTATATGGAATGTATAAATTGGTTATTTAAACAACATGATTATGTTATAAATCCTTATTTTAAACCTAATAGAAATGACATGTATGATTTTATTTAACTTTTTATTTTAGAATAAAAAAAATGAAACTAATTACTGGAGACGATCAAGACTTTTTATTTTTTAACAGAGAAGAATCCGATATAATGACAAAATTTTTAAATGTGGAACATGAAAAGATTAATGATCCATCAACATTAAAAGCGTTTGGCAATATATTGTTAATGGTACAAGAAGAAGTTTTAAAACAAACAAACTATTTTAAAAACATTGAGAAAACAGAAGAAATTAAACGAGACTTTTATAATTTTGTAAAACAAGTATTATTAAAATAAATTTTTTTTATTTTTTTTTAGATTCATAACAAATAAAATGAAACTTGTTAAAAATGATCAAATCAGATTTGTTAGTTACAACCCTCAAGAAGCAAGAATACTAATAAACATAGCAGAAGACCGATACGGATCCGATAGTTGTAGAGTGTTGGCAGAATTTTATCGTATTGGTGTTATTATAGACGAAGAAATTCAAAAACGTACGAACAATTTTACAAATAAAGAACTCTTTGAAAATATCAATAACAGTTTTGAAAACTTTGTTAAAAGTTTATTATAAGAATAAAAACAAAATTTTACATTAATAAACTTTTTCATTTAATATATTGTCTCTTTCCTTTTTTATAATATGATAACATTCCAATACATCTTTTTGCAAATATAATCCTCCAACTAATCCTTTACAATAATAACACAATTGTTGAACTATTATTTTTAAACTATTTACATAGTTTATTTTTTTATACAATTTATCTATACACGTAAAATAATAATAAAATGTTTTTAACACATCAAGACAATGTTCAATGACTTCACTATAATTATGAAAACACGTGTCAGGATAAAATACGCGATGCGGAAGACATTTAAATAGCAAATCAAGAACTTCTATCAACTCTATTTGATATGTCTTTATCAATTTTAAATCTTTAATATAAAAACCGTATACTCTTTTACAACTATCCAATTCGCTTTCTTCAGCTAAAAGAACTTTATCCATCCAAACACCTTGATTTAAATGCGTTTCCTGTAAATGTTTTTTTAAATCTAAATTAAATTGATATAAATATAACAAACAATCGTCCGTCGCATCAAAAGACATTTTGATAAATGAACTTTTTATTTACATATATACAATTTATTTACAAATATATTTTTATATACAATAACAACAACCGCGGCACCGCTCAAATAAATCTTGTATGTACGGGCACACGGTTGTTGCGCAACAATGATTATGTTCGCTTTGTTCTCCTGTACATAAACAACATCCTAAACAAACCACTCGTCTAGTTGTTGAATCTCCATTAAGTGAAAAATATCGTTCATTTCTATTCATTATGCCGTCGTTTAAATGACGATCAATACGAATCATAATACCATCGAGTATGCGAACTTGTTCTGAAAAAATTATTTTAAACTAAATATTGTTTCCTCATCTGATTCCTCAAGTGGTCTTGTTTCAACCACTTGAGGTACATAATTTTGAGGCGCTTTATAAACATTTTCGGGCACATAGAGTTTAACAACCTAGAAAAAATACACATCCATTTTAAAAAAATACAAAACATTTATTTTAAAAAAAGAAAACAATAAACTTACAGCTACAGGTTTGACAAATAATTGACGTTTGACTTTTATTTTTTTACTTTCCTCAATTTTTTTTACTTTACCCATTTTTTTATGTTGTAAAAGTCAATTAATATAATTTGATAAAATGCTTTTTTATATTTTTTATAACGAATATAATTAAAAAGCATTTGCTTTTTTAAATATTTTTTTTATAACGCTAGATTAACTTTAGACAAATTAAAAATTAATTATTTTTTTTTAAACATTATCGGATTATAACGTTATGACGTTATCGGATTATGACGTTAGTTATGACGAAGGTCGGGATGGAAGGTTGGGTGGGAGGAAAGTGAATAAATCCTATATGAGTATATCATCACATAGTAATAACTGATGTGGTTGAAGTTAATTTTTCAAATCTCGCATAAATATTTTATCGGAACTGTGAAAAGGTGTATTAAACTTTTTATCAAAATAAATTTTTAAATCAAAACTATTTTGAAATTTAAGAATATATTTTAAATAATATTAATAAGTAAATTGATAACACTGAAACAACGCAAGAATTAAATATTTCTTGAAATCAGAAAAGTAGGTATTTAAGAATATATAAGATTTTGAACATTACTTTTAAGCTATAAAGTAACCACAGCCTTTTTTAGTAATTAGTAATGCAATAATTAACTGAAACAAATTGTTAATGTGAAACTCACTGCATTTACCTTATTCTTGACAGACAGTGTGATGACTCTATAGCTTAGCAATAAGAGTAGATTAATTATGTAGTTTATATACAATTACTATGTTTTTTAAGTTTATTTAAAAAAATTCTAAAGTTTATCTTTGTACATTCTGAATACTCTTCAAGATTGGAGTACATATTTTTTAAATGTTCTTTTAGTTGGTTACTGTTACTACTATTTATATACATGACAATCTCTTGCATTGATTGGTCAATAGTTGAATAAAATGTGGATGGATTTAATCTTTTAAAAACCAAAAAAGCTCGAGCAATTTTTTCATTTCTAGATTCAGCGGCAATTAATGCCCATAACAAACTGTTCCGAGTATAGCAAAATTGCTTGTTTCCATGTTCAAAGTATTTAAAAATTTTATTGTTTTCATAAACATTAAAGCTTGTTCGAAAATCAAAAATGCAAGCGGATAAATCATTTTCTTGTTCAATAAAACCAAAGTTAGAAGAGTTTATAGAGCAATCACCCAAATTAAATATTCGACTAACCATATCTACCAATGTTAGTTCTCGTTTGAGACTTTCAAACAAGTTAGGCTCGTAGCTATCAAATTCTTTTTTTATGTCATCAGTAATAGCTATACTTACTTTGTAGTGATTAGCAAGTTTAAAAGGAAAATTATTTGGTTTTTCCACATCATTCGGTTTTAAAATAGTTGAACCTAAAAGAAATTTTGCAAATTACATAAAAAATTTATGCAAATTAGTCAACACTTTTCACTATTTTTTGTTACAATAAAAATAATTATCAAACTAATTAAAAAAATATTATCAAACCAGCTTCTTGTGTTGAAATGAAAAACTCTTTCGTAGCATCTCGATCATCAAAGAAGAATCTTACTTTGGGACCAATTTTTAGGTTTTCTAAAGCTTTGTACACAAACAGCTCCTTTATGTCAACAGGCTTTGATGCTGCAGACGGAGCAGTTACAGCTCCATTTTGGTGTGTTTTAATAAAAAAATTTGTTGATGATTTAACATTATTAGAGTTAGAAAATGTAACTGTAGCTAGTTCTCCGCTTTGTACTCCTCTCATTTTATGTGAAAAACTTATGCTTTCAATATTTAATGCACCAAAGTTAATTGTTATATCATCTTTAAAAAGTTCTTTTAATTTATTTTCATAGTCATTGATAACTTTATCTAGTTTACTAGTCATTAAAAATAATTCTTTTTTTAAACTTTCATGATACTTTAAAATAATCTCCGAGTCGTAAACAAACATGTAAATTTTGACCACAAGAAAAAGTGATTTGTTTTTTAACAGCGTTTGATTTGTTATACACAACAACTCCTTATATTCTTTTCTGAACTGCTCTATAATAGCTTCATGTTCCATGTTTAAATTATTACTCTAAACACAAAAACAGCTTTTAAAAGCGACAATAATAAAATATTTTATTAATCTTATGGGAATTTTAATTACAACTTTTTAAGAAAAGTTTAATGTGAGTGATATTACAACTTTAGTTTTGACTATTAAAACACTTTAATGACAAAAAAAAAAGTATGTTAAGGGGCCATTCATAAAGAACGTCATCCAAAAAGGGGAGGGGGAGGGAGGGGATCGAGTTAAAAAGGACAAAAAGGACAAGGGGAGGGGGGGAAAGGTTGTCAGAAAAGGACGTCACTTTATAGATTTTTTATTTTAGTTTAATTAACATGGAAAACTACGTAAATATGTGTTTTTTAGAAGATAATGTATGAGAATATTTTTAATTTTATTTTTCAAAGGTGTAGCAGCAGATTCAAACATCATTGCGAGATAAAATAAATTTTAATAATTTTAATTTTTTTTTTAATAAAATAAATTTTTGGAGTTAAAAATAGGGGGGGGGTTCAGGATTTTATGACGTCCTTTTCAAGGGGGGTATAGGGAAAAAAGGAGAACCGGTGACAAAGGGAAGGGGGGAGGGGTCTAAAATTGGCTAAAAAATGATGACGTCCTTTATGGATGGCCCCTAACTTGACACCATTTAAACTCAAAAATTAAACAAAAAAACAAATTTTTTACAAAATTAAAAGCTAAGATTTTCTTTTTAAATATTGTCATTTAATAACTATATAAACAGCCTGTGTATTTTTCAAATTATTAATTTTTCAAAAACATAAAATGGTATTTATTTCTTAATAATAAGCTAATAACTTAGTAAATGACAAGTTAGCTAAATGAATAATGTTAATTAAATGACACGTTAGCTAAATGAGTAATGAGTATACAAGCTTAGTAACAGGGCCGACAACATCGGGGGGGGGGGCAGGGCATGTGCCCCCATTTTTTTTCTAAAGGACTTTTTTTTTTTAAGAAAAATCTAGATATGGAGGACTTTTTTTACAAATTGATGATTGTGCCCCCTCCCCCTCCCAATTCGAAACCCGCGCCGTCGGCCCTGTAAATGAATAAATTCTGTTACATTAGCCTAATGTTTTTTAATTAATTTTCCTCTATATCTAGATTAGTATTAGTAGAGAATTGTAATTACGGTATAAACTCTGGGGAGACTATTTTTCATTTTTCGTTTACAAAAGATTTCACAACACAGTTACTTATAATGACGCCTTACGTTTGTAAAACAATAAAGAAAAATTGTTTCATGAGAATGATTTATAATAATCAAATAATTATCATAAAAATTTTAATAATTGACATATTGATTGATTTACATCGAAAAGAGTCTAAAAATAATTTTTGGCGTCAAATTCAAAAAAGCATTTTGCATAAAAAGGGGGTTCGATTGAACCAAACGACTCTATGAAGGCTAAAAATATTTTGAGTTAAATTAAAGAAATAAATGAAAAGAAAAAACATAAAGTTTGAAAACAAGTGCAAAATGCAGGAAAAAAAAAGAAGAAAAAAAAGTTTTCATTAAATGTAAGGAGAAATGTGTGTGTACTGAAAACATTTGTAGAGTAAAAAAGGTTGCGAGAATGCCAAAAATGCCACAATATTTTGAAATCCTAATGCAGCTAGTTAGCATGCCGTGTTGTTGGAAAACAAGTAAAATTAAAAAAGAAATTTTAAAACCCAATGCCTATATATGTTATTAAAACACAAGATTTGCAATAAATTTTTTCTGACATTACTATTTTAATTTATTAAGCCATTGCGGTTAAATTTATTTTTCAAGAAGTTTTGCTAATCGCATATAAAAATTATTATTTTTCTTCCCGTATAAAAAATAAACTAAAAATTAACTAAAGTAATTGACTTATTGCAAAACTAATTATTGAATATTGTATTTTCATCAAGCAAGAGTATGTATGCAAAATTTAGTGACTCAAAAATTGATTGCAAGATTTGATGTTAACAGACAATCACATAGAAGATTAACAGACAGAGATGAGGAGTTAATAAAAGCATTGGGAAAAAATCTACAATGATTTTTCCTGCTTCGCCTTTGCAAAGAAAAGTAACAAATTGAATAAATAGCTTATTTGATACAGATAGTTATAGCTTATTCAATGAAGATAGTGATGTTAGTTTATGTATAAATAAAACATTATTCAAAAATGTAATCCTTCATTTATAACTTTATGTAATAATAAACATTATTCAAGTTGTGTTATTTGACTTATTCTAACTTATATTTTTTTCTAGCTTGAACATTTAAATACAAAAAAATTTAATTCTCATACTTCCGGTTAATTTACAAAGTAATTGGACATTTTGACAAACGGGAATTAATTTATACAAAACAAAGCTTGGACAGGAATAGCGTACAATCGAACGCTATTCCTGACCAGGCAAATGATTTTTTTGTTTACAACATGACCACGACTTTTTAGATGTTTTGATGATTTAAATGTTTCAGAAATGCGCTGAAAAAAGAAACATTAAGCTAAACTTAAACTAAGAAAAAAAATAGAAAAACTAAAGAATAAGCAAAACAATTCCTTACAAAAAAGAAAACAAGTTATCTTCAAAATAAAACTATAAAAATTCGAAGTTAAAAATACTTTTTGATATGTTTTTAATGGCATTTGATAAATATTACTTTAAAAACTTATCTTTTAAATGTTAAAAACAAATGTTACTCAAAACAATTTCACAAAAAACGCTGTTGCTTTTATTGATTGATGATTATTAATGAAAATTTTATTTAAGTTAATGAAAAGTTAAATTAAATTATTGAAAAGAAAAAATATAACATATCTTGTAAAAACATTTTTTTTTTCAAAAAGATGAAAAAAAAAAAAATTGTTAAAAAAAAGTAACGTAGTCGTTATAAAATTTTTAATCATTTTATGCTTTAGTTAGTAAGTCAAGTTGGAAAAAAAACTTCTAAACAATTCTTGTAAAAATGAAAACAAAAAAATAAAGCACTTAAATCATGAAGATTTATTTTAACTTATTCATAGTTTAAAGTAACTTAAAAAGTTAATCTTTTAAAAGATTTTGAGAAAGACAGAAAAATAGTTTCAAACGTTTAAATTTATCATAAAAAAAAAAAAAGATTGATGGTTAAAAAAAAACTTGACAAAAAAAAAAAAAGATCAACAGTGAAAGGTTATTTGTAGCGTAACGATTTTTTTATTGCACTTAAATTGCACTTAAACATCAGAACAGCCGACGTCAAATTGAAAAAAAAAAAAAAAAAAAAAGCGTTGTTAGTTACAGCGTGAAAATTTAAGTCTAAAAAAGCATACAGTATTAAATTGAAACTATTTTATTGAAAAACAAAAATCTGCGATGAAATACTCTAAATAAGGAAAGAAACTACGACTTCACTAGACTAACGTTAAATAAACTAAATAACATGACAAAGATTTCTATAGCATAATTCGGTCAGGGCCGCCGAAAGCTGTCACGCCACCAGGGACAGCAACCCGGATTGGCGCTCTTATTTCATTTGGTGCCCCTTGGATATCTACCATAAAACCGAAAAAATCATATTTTCAAAATTTGATCGGACACTGTCCGATCCAAACAAGTTTTAATGAGACATTCTGTCCGGAACTTTTTAAAAAATTAAATTGAGTCCTGTATATATATATATATATATATATATATATATATATATATATATATATATATATATATATATATATATATAATATATATATATATATATATATATATATATATATATATATATATATATATATATATAATATTATATTATATATAAGAATTTTATTAACTTCTGCATGCATATATATGTTATATATATATATGCATGACAAAGTTAACATAATTTTTCTTTTACTTAGGTATAAAATAAATGTAAAGTTAACTAAATATCAACTTAATCAAGTTATTGAGGACATAAATTAGATTGATAGAAATGAATTACTTCAAAGTTTACTTTTTGATTTCATTTTTTTTATTTTTAATAATGCATCATTTTAGGGGGAAGAGTATGTTTTTTATGTTTATATATATATATATATATATATATATATATATATATATATATATATATATATATATATATATATATATATATATATATATATATATATATATATATATATATATATATATATATATATATATATATATATATATTCACTCTTCCCCTCCCCCGACCACATTTGACCCTTTTTTAAAGATTTATAGTCTACTTACCTTCTCTACCTTTTTTGCACCATAGAGCGAATTTTCAGCAATTTTGAACAAATAATTTAAAAAAAAAATTAATTTTGTCCTAATTTTAAGTTATTCCTGATATTTGTGTACTCGCACAAAATATGCCATTAGATGGATTTGAGCCCTGGATACCTAAATTAATAAACTTTGATAGCTACATTAATGAAAAATTTTCTTGGGTAATTTTAACAAATGGGTAAGGGATTATTGAAGTTAATAAATACATTTTTTTCAGGTGTAAACTAAATTTTCTAGCATTCACAGTTTTTGAAAAACAACGAATTTAAGGGCGGATTTAAGAAGCGTGTTTCCAATGGGAAAAGATTACTACATCTGTCCAACAACATCCGTGGAGTAGTGAAATAACATCCGCACATTTTTGTGTAAGATCATCCGCTTTTTTCTTTACTGAATTAACATCTGTGCAACAACATCCGAAATTTCATTGATGTCTAATAACATCTTTAGAAAGATGCAACTACATCCGAGAGTTTTTCTCGATGTGTAACTACATCCGCCTAAAATGATGCATTATTAAAAATAAAATAAATTTCCACTGTTCTCCAAATTGACCGCCAGGTTGAAACTCTCCCCACTTTAAATTTTTTTGCATTTAATTAATCATGTGCATTAGCAAACACAATTTAAGTTATCAGAAAAATCTGAATTAAGTGCTAAGTATGTATATTTTTAAAGTTAAAACTTATAGTTTTTTTCTTTTTTTTTTCGTAAGTTTAATTAATGTCAGCCATTATGGTAGTCAA